AGAGAACAACTAGGAGAAAGGGATACTGCTAGCATGTAGAGTTTTGCTCTTCCCGGACCACTTCTTTTCTGCCAACAACCGTAGCACAATATCTACTAGGAACCACCTGCAAAGTAATCGTTGTTGTGATATTGTTTGAAAAAGCGATTAATTTTAAAAACTAGTAATTTGAAAGTACACTTGCTAAAAGAGCCTTACAAAATCTGGTATTTTTCACCTGAAACGATGATCCCGACTTGCAGGGTTCTCCATCTATGGCGAAATACCCTCCTTCTGATAGAGGTTCAATCCTAACTGCTTTAACTGGGATGATCTGCAATAACGACTGTTCTACACTTAAAAATTTTATTTATAGAATGTCGTAAAGTGCGCATGTACAAGCTACAGACTCAGAAGAATGATTAGCCAATAGTTATTCAGATCTAATACGCTTTGTAAAAAAGCATTCTTTGTTACAGTCTTCAACATGTGGTACGTATCAATTTGACGATTCTAATCGCATTCAAGTTGTGCAAGTCATGCTTTTGTTACTGCGAATTCTTAGATCTGATTATATTAAGAAAGTTAGTAAATGCATCAAGTATCAACAAGGGTTTTATGATTTAATCTTGATGTTTTATGCAGTAACACGTTTGTATGAACACATTTATTTTACCTGTCATTTTTTTTTATTTTTTGTTTTGAAGAGGACTGCGAGAAGTTACCATAAATATCCAAGGCATTTGCATTATAATAATGAGCATGAAAATATACTATGCAACAGTTTTTACAAAAAATTTATGTTAAAAAAATGATCTGGATATAATGCTGTTAAATAGAAGGTTTTTAAAGATATTTTTCTTCGACCAAAATTCTTTCGTCAAAAAATATTCAAGACTGTGTGTCAAGAAAAAAAAATCGAAAATTGTTCACAATCTTCTCCTTAAAAACACTCGAAAAAAGGTTCGGAAAATCGTACATGTATTTTGAAGTCTCTCATTATCAACCAAAAAATCAAAGGCATTAAACTCGTGTTTTAGTGAAGAATGAGTGGTATGTCATACCGGGCATTCTCTATAGTAAGGATGTCAAAGGTGCCAACGGGCGACCTAAGAATCAGAGTACAGTATTCTTAACCACCCTCAAAACTGGATAATCTTTTTCTCAAAAATCTATTTATTGTCTGAAAGCGGAGAATATGAGGGGTGCGAGCGTGTCCCTGCTGCTGCGAGTTTCTGGTAGAAAATGTTGCAAGCAGTTTTATTCATGAGACTGCATGTTCTCTTCCTAGTACCCGATCAATCTGCTTTCATACTGGTAACTTATAAGGGCCTTTCTATGGGGTCACGCGTCTAGCGCGATGGGTAAATTGAGGATTTTTACATTGAAAAAATCATAATGAAGCGAACGGGGCCTGAGTATGGCAAAGGACCATATACAGCTTTTACATGTCCCCCCCCC